CAGGTGGTCTGAGACACCAGAGTTGAGAACAGTGATTAACAATCATCACACAATTTTCAAGTATGTCCCCTCTCAGCTATTACCAATTTCCATATTACATGAAACGAAACTTGGTCACTAAGTCACATAGGATAATCACCTACTCAAGCATCTTTTTTCTAACTATTTGCTAATGCTCTACTATTTGGTATGACTTCAACCATTCCATATGCTTATAAACACACAAGCTTACAAATACAGTAAGCATGTCTCAGAATCAAGAGCTAAGTCATATCTCATTAAAGAGCACTGAAAATCTATCCCCCAATCTACAGATATGTTCAGAATTCAAAAACAAAGTGAAGGCCAAGTCTTTGACAGGAAAGAAAAGAATAAAACTGTGAACCAAAAATGGTGAGGATTCTGAAGATAGTTTGGTATGCCTAAGATTTTAAAAGTAATGCAGAACACATTCAGTCATAATAAATATTCCTCAGAAAAATGTATATGCACAAAAGCAAGGTATATTTCTTTTTTTTTTTAAGAGATTTTTAAGGGTACTGAAGAATGTAGATAAAACAGGAAGTGATCAGTAGAGTCAAGATCACGATTACAATTCCAAAACCCACGTATAGGTTATCAGTAGGTCGCCTTTAGTCACAAACAACACCCAAAGAAATTTAACAAGTCCTTCAGTTGATACAATCCAAACCTCAGAAACCCAGTTAAATCAGTTAAGGAGGCTTCATGGCTCACCAGGCTAATCCCCCACCTTTAAGCAAGGGCATTCCATATGGCCACTGGTTTGTGTCTGGGCTGCTCCACTTTCAATCTACCTTCTTACTTATGGTCTGGGATGGTAGTGGAAGATGGCCCAAGTCCTTGGGATTCCCACATGGAGACCCAGAAGAAGCTCCTGGCTCCTGTCTTCTGATCAGCTTAGCTGCAGTCATTTGGGGAATGAACCAGTGGATGGAACATCTTTCCCCCTCTGCCTTTCCTTCTCTCTGCAAATCTGCCTTTCAACTAAACATAAATAAATCTTGTAAAAAAAAAATCTGTTAAGGACACTAAACATGAAATCATGAAAAGACTAACACATCATCGCTGCTTGGGCCTTCAGTGATGAGTTTCAAACACCAGGAAGGTTCTGAAATTCAACAAGATTCTGCCTCGGAACTCCCTATTGATCACCTGAGTGGCACTAGCTGGGAGTGGATCCTAACTTCCCTCTTGCTCCTGTCCAGCCCGTAGGGAGGAGCTAACGCTTCCAGGGATCCTCATCTGTTGAAGGACTGTCAGCAGTTCCTATGACACACAGCACGCTCCAAGGACTCTACCTGCTCCAAGCAAGCTGTTCTCTTCTTCTTCTTTTTTTTTTTAAGATTTATTTATTTTGATTACAAAGTCAGATATGCAGAGAGTAGGAGAGACACAGAGGAAGATCTTCCAACTGACGATTCACTCTACAAGTGACCACAACGGCCAGTGCTGCGCCGATCCGAAGCCAGGAGTCAGGAACCTCCTCCAGGTCTCCCACACAGATGCAGGATCCCACGAGCAGGGAGCTGGATGGGAAGTGGAGCAGCCGGGATTAGAACCAGGACCCATATGGGATCCTGGCACATTCAAGGCAAGGACTTTAGCCACTAGGCCACGGCACCGGGCCCTCTCTTCTTCCTTTAAATGATATTTTGCGGGCCCGGCGCGGTGGTGCAAGTGGTCAAGGTTCTCGCCTTGCATGCCCAGGATTCAATATGGGCACCAGTTCTAATCCCGGCAGCTCTACTTCCCATCCAGCTCCCTGCCTGTGGCCTGGGAAAGCAGTCAAGGACGACCCAAAGCTTTGGGACCCAGCACCCGCGTGGGAGACCCAGAAGAGGCTCCTGGCTTTGGATCGGCATAGTATCGGCCGTTGCACTCACTTGGGGAGTGAATCATCGGACGGAAGATCTTCCTCTCTGACTCTCCTCTCTGTATATCCGCCTTTCCAATAAAAAAAATAATAAAAATAAATCTTTAAATGATATTTTGCTTCCCTAAAGACTCCTGTTGCTCTTTTTTCCTCTACACTATTTCCCTTTGGTTTATCCATTCTTACGGACTTAATCATCAGTGAGTCAATGGCCTTCAAAACCATATGTAGCTTTAACCTCCAGGCAACAACCTAGCTCCACAGCTTCCATTTGAAAATGTTTTGGGTAGATAGATGGTGAGCACTGACAACTTTCCTTCTTCTCTGTCATGTTGCCTGTCTTTGGCGCCCTGGCTAAACACTAACTATGCCTTACTATTTCATAAAGACTTTTTAAATGCTTGGTTATAGTATCACTTTACTTGACAGCTGGAAACTAAAGTATGACTGCACTTCCAGATTTCCCTGCCTTCTTTCTTGTCTCAGTTGTGCAATCCAAGTAAGAGCATGTGATTTATCTCAAAGAATTGTTAAAAAAAAAATGTTCTATCAGGGCCTGGCGGGGTAGCCTAGTGGCTAAAGTCCTTGCCTTGCATGAGCTGGGATCCCATATGGCCACTGGTTCATATCTGGGATGTCCCAATTCCCACCCAGCTCCCTGCTTGTGGCCTGGGAAAACAGTCGAGGAGGGGACTCTTTACCACCATGGGAGACCCGGAGGAACCTGACTCCCGGCTTCAAATTGGCTTGGCTGTGGCCATTGTGGCTACTTGGGGAGTGAACCAGTAGATGGCAGATCTCCCTCTCTGTGTCTCTTTCTCTCTGTATATCTGCTTTTCCAATAAAAATAAATAAATCTTAAAAATGAATCAAGACAGAGCAAAAGGAACAAATAAAAACTAGAGAAAATTCAGTTCCTCAACATATCCAGGCTTCGAATTAGGAATAAGAAGAAAAGTAGCAATTCAAATTATCCACCCCCTAGTGTTCCAGATCTAAGCCTTTGCAGACAATAAGAAAAGTTCAGCAAAGAAGGACGGGAAGAACAAGAAAATGAGCTGGAATCAGTTAATACTGGTCTAAGACCAGAAAGAAACCACTCATGCTGTGAATAATGATATTGGAAAAGTATAATGTGAATTGGAATACAGATTTGAAAAAACAGAGGAGACAATGAAATAGTCTTGGAGAGCTAGAAGTTTAGGGAGAAACAGGATTAACTAGAAAGGAACAAGCATTTAGGAACATTAAATAGAGAAAAAAGCACTAGATCAGGAGTTCAAAGCAAAGAAGTAGACAACAGAAATTAAATAAAGCTAACTGAATCCAAGAAACAAACAGGCAGGGAAGAACCCACACATTTATATCAGAAATGAAAATAAAATCGCATAATGCCCAACAAAGAATATATTCACAGGAAAACAAAACTGTAGATAAGACAAAAACTAAGGAAAAGCCAATACAATGAAGAAAGTAAGCCAAAGTAATATAGAAGATAAGAAAAAGATTCCATTAATACAGAGTTGGAAGTCCTACAGACAATGAAACAATGGGTCAGAACTAAGAAATGTTATGGAAACAGCATAGGACCTGGATTTATACCCTTAAGAACTCACTGAATTCTCTAACCTGCAACAAGGAAAATAGAACTGCCACAACCACGGTCAAACAACTTACAAAAATGACAGAACACAACTAGCATCATAATTCCCAAAGAAACAACACAAAAAGCAAGGGGATTAAAAATCAAATGGTACAATCAAGGAGATTAAACATACTATAGCACTGTATACTATTTATCTCCTAGAAGAAGAGGGCAGGGTAAACAGAACTTAGAAATGTTTAGGTGATGGAAAAATGATGTATAAGAAATAATAAGCTAGAGGTGAAACAGCAATCAGAAGAAAATTCATAGCCTTAACCACTTAATAAAAGAGTAAAACTAGACTCTCAGATCGAAAACCTGAAAACAAAACAAAACAAAACAAAATAAGCTGGAAGAAAGCATCAACAAGGAAGTAAAGAGAAAAAAGTAAAAAATGCAAAACAGATCTAATACATCAAAACCTCCACCTGCTAAAGAAAAGCAGCAACACAAACCACTAGATAATTCAATCAATGGAGAAGTCACAATATAAAAATTCAGAAATGATCAGAGTGAAACCACCACTGAAAACAGAAGCAATTTAAAAGGCATAAAGCACTACACATATCTATACAAATGTGAAAAAACTACACAAAAAGGATAATTTCTATAATTGATCCATAGGAAGCTTAATGGAAGTTCCATTTTCATGATAGAATTTTTTTTTAAATTGAGAAAGAAGAAGGAATACACAAGAAGTATCATTGCAGTCAATAGCTCAGGACTCTAACAGGGCTTCCCAGACCAATCTGCCCATATGCTGTATGAACAGTTCCCAGAATTTTGAAAATGGAGGAAAATGGATTCGTTTCTCTGAATCAAGTAAAATATTATTGCAAAAGCCCCAAAAGGATACCTATTAGTATCATCTTTGAATATTGATGCAAAAGTTCTACATAAAATGTCCACAATCACAATCAAACACTGAAGTCAGGAAACTGTACACTAAGAACGAGAAGGACTTGGCCTAGGAATACCTGTCTGACTCAATCCTTTCATATAATGCACGGATGCAAGAGCTCGGAGAAGACAGGATTATTTCCACAGGTGCTAAAAAAGCTTTTAACAGAACTTTAGATTCACTCCTCATTTTTACAAAAGAATGCATATCACAGCATTGATAAAGAAATACGCTTATGTCAGTACAATTCATCTTAAAGCCAAACTAAGGGCATTTTCATTAATACCAGGAGTCTGCTCTAAAATGATTTAACATTGTAATAGAGACATTTGCTGATAAATCAGACAGGAAAACCAGGCCTTCACACAGAGCAGCTAGGCTAATCTTCGAACAGAAATAATTTATTCATATATGTGGCAGGATCGTGAAAGTAGGAAACGTCTAATACAATAACAATGGTAAACAGTCACATGTGCCCAGCTCAAACTGTTTTCATAAAAGATATTAACATATTAACTTGGTATTTTATTTCATTATAAAATATATTAAAAACACTGTACCTTACAGTAAAATCGTAAGAGCAAGAGGCCAGCACTGAAGCATGAAATGGTGAAAACTATAGAAAACAAAACAAAATGAAATCTCTTTGAACTTAGCAGTGATTATGCCATACTGCTTCCTAAGGTCATTCAATAAGCATTAGCATAGACTTCAGTTTAGTCAGGGATGTTTCTTAAAATGTTCTTCAACTTTACACACTTTAATATGAAGCAAGAATCTTTTGGTCCTTTTCATACTCATCTTAGGATAAAATTTAGTTTTATATTCTCCAAAGATCTAGCTCAACCTTTTAAAAAGTTTATCTGGAATAAAAATAGTTCCAAAATGTTGCTGTTCTAGTAAATGGAATATAATTTCACACTGGCTATACTAAAAAATGACTCTTACAAATATAAAGGCTTTCTATGTAGGATAGCACACATTTCAGTAATGACATAATCTAACAGCTTTTTGAAAACATGATTGGTACAAATACATCAAATATTTAAATGTTATGTTAAAATATCTTTAGAATAATTTTTATATAAAAAGTTAACATTTCCTTATTTCTAAGTAAAGTTAATGAAAAATATCAAGGATAAAACATGCTAACTTAAAAACAACAACAATAAAAAATGCTAACTTTAAAACAAGTAATTTCTAAATAAGTCATAAACACCCTTCAACAGGCTGCCCTTTGTAACTGTACTTCCTCAGCATTTGTCTTACCAGTACTGCAATAGTCACATATGTGTATATAACTACATCTGAACAGCCCTTTACAGTTTTGGTTGTTTTTTTGGTTTTTTTTTGTTCAAAGTATTTTCACTCTATTACTCCATTTTGTTCTCAGAACTGTTTACTTGTCAGCTACATCAAGTTGAGCACCGAATGTTGTCATGACAAACTAAAACTATGTAACCAGCATAATTTTAATAGTAACCTGAATTAGAATTTGTGAAAGAGTAATAATATCATTATTTTATTATCAGTATCAATAAGGTACTTCTCTGCCTTTAATGTTAAAACAAAATAACAGACCCCAGAGATGTCACATAATAAGACTGTGTCCATTGCCACCTGCAGAACCTGCGAGAACAACAGCTGGGAAGCTAACTCTTATCACTGTAAGGAGCATACAAACAACCACATCCTCCCCTGCAAGTTACACAGAGGAAAACTGGAAAATTTTCTGTTTCCACTATGTGTGAACATTCATATAAGGAACAAAAAGAAGTAACCATCTCTCTATACCAGTTTCAACAAGGACAAGATACCTACCTACTCAATGGAAAATGGAAATCTAATACCAACACTCAACGACTACAGCTTAAAAAAAAAAAAGCAGTGCTTAAGGAAGAACAGGAAGAACTAGCCTGAGGATGAAAGAAACATGAAAACATTAAGTCCTGAAGGTCTACCCAGTTCTAATTCCTTAAAAAAATTATTCAAATAGCTTACCTAATTTAACTTTTCAATATTAATTATCATTAATTGGACAACAAAAAATTATTTTATGTATGTTTCACTGATTGCTTATATTTTCACTCTACATATTAAAACACTTACTTTCACCCTCCTGATAGCATAGGTGTGACCAAGAAGCTCAAACGCCGGTTGTCGTACATTTCTTAAGTCCCAGCCTCTCAAACTACAATCCACTGCACCTGTGACCAGCAGATTCTGGAAAACAGTTTAGATGAAAGTGAACTGTGAATTCTGACAAACAAGCACCAATAATATCTATTTTCTGGTAACTATTTAACATGAACTCAAGAGTTACCCCTTAGAAGCTGAAAACAAGTACAAAAGAAGGGATTGCAACAGACACTATACAGCAAAAATACAACACTCAACAGAAGACACTCAATAGACTGTCTAATGTGCACTCTATGGTGCAACATTAGACAGAACAGAAAAAGGCAGAGTGCTGATAGCACTGTGGATTTTTCAGATCACCTCTGGGAGTAGGAATAAGAGATTAAAAAGTGTATCTGTCAAAAAAAAAAGTATATCTGTCAGGGCTGGGATTATAGCACAGTGGGTTAATCAGATCCAACCCTGGCTTCTTGCTACTCTGCCTCCTACCCAGTTTCTTGCTCACATGCCCAAGAAGGTAGATGATGGTCCAGGTACTTGGGAAATCTGGAATGGACTCCTAGCTTCTTCTGGCTCAGATGTGGCTGTTATAGCCATTTGTGGAATGAACCAGCACATGGAAAGTCGGCGCCTGCTTCTCTTCATCTCTCTGTCCCTTTGTCTTTCAAATAAAAGATATTTCAAAAAAATACTATCTTACAAATTAGCTAGCACACTTTTTAAAAAGGTTTAACAGGCATTGAAAATCAAGTGAACTATTATTTCAGAATATTTACAAGAGCCAAACGTATAAATTTAATTTTTCTCTTCCTCTAAACCTAAACAAATCATTGCTCCCATCTCTCTAGGGGCAAAGCCTAAAAACAAAATTTTATCAGACCTGAGAATCTGTGCCAATGGTGCCGAGGGTCCAACCAAGTCAAATGCAGAAATACCCCCAGCCAGAGTCCAAGATGACGCCCGAGTTCCTTGCTGACCAGGACAGAAGCTAGGTCCACAAAGCAGCCTACTCCATCATCCAGAGCAGACTTCCTTGGCTAGACAGGTTGGGCTTTAGTTAGCTCCTTGGAGGAAAAGTTTCTTTTGATTAAAGAATATTTTAAGGTTTATTTATTTGTTTTGAAATTCAGAGTTAATGAGAGAAAGGGAGGAAGTAAGGATAAGAGAGAAAGAGATATTCTAAGCATTGGTCTGCTCCCCAGATGGCCATAATGGCAAGCATGGGCCACGTGCCCAGGAGCCAGGAGCTTCACTTGAATCTTCCACACGGATGGCAAGGACTCACTTAGGCCATCTCCCACTGCCTTTCCCAGGCTAGTAGCAGGGAACTGGCTTGACATGGAATAGTCAAAATACAAACCAGAACCTACACAGGATGCTGGCATTACAGTCTACTTTGTCACAACACTGACTCCCTTGAAAAAAAATGTTTTTAAATTTATTTATTTGAAAGTCAGAGGTACACAGAAAAAGAGATCTTCCTTCCACTCCCCAAAGAGCCACAACAGCTGGAGCCTGAATATCGCGGCATAGAAGTTTAAGCCTCCATGTGTGCTGCTGGAATCATATGAGTACTGGTTCAAGTGCCAACAGCTCCCTGATAAAGTGCCAGGGAAAGCAATGAAAGATGGCCAAAGTGCTAGGGCTGCTGTACCCATATGGAAGATGTGGAAGAAGCTCTAAGATCCTGGCCTGGGACTGGCCCAGCTCCAGTCACTGTGACCAATTGGGGGGTAAACCAACAGATGGGAAGATCTTCCACTCTGTCTCTCCTCTTCTCTCTGTAAAGCTCTTTCAAATAAAAAGTTAAAATAGACATTTTTTTTAAAAAAGAATCTTACCAATACAGTAGAATCATTTTTTAAGATAATTAATTTACTAATAGGAAAAAAAAAGTCATCAATTTCCTGCAATTAGCAAAGCACTTCGGGTACATAAACAGAAACATTAACATATATTTCATCCATTTTACTATAAAGTTCAAATGTTCATGTAGTTAATTGGTGCTTTTGCAAAAAGCTATACTGGGTCACTGTTTTGTTACAGAAGCATGGAAACTAGAAAATCTGAAAAGGGAAAAACAAAATATAAAGTTTAAGGTCGGTATTGTGGTGCAACAAATTAAGCTGCTGCCTGAAATGGCAGGAGCCCAGCGCAAGCCCCAGCTGCTCTACTTCTGGTCTTATAATAATACACCTGGGAAAGCAGCAAAAGATGGCCTAAGTACTTGAGCCCCTGCCACCCACGTGAGAGACATGGTTAGCCCCCAGGGTCCTGGTTTCAGTCCAGCCCAACCCTAGCACTTGCAGTCCTTTAGGGAATGAATCAGTGGCTGTACCATGTCTCCTCCTCTTTCTCTGACTCTCCCTTTCAAATATATTGTTTAAAAAATGGAAAAGAAAAAGAAACATAAAATTTATAAAATGATAAAACTGCCATTTAAAAATTAAAGTTACTAACAGCTTTGCAGGCTGTGGGTAAAAGTGGTAATGAATAGAAAAGATGAACAGAGTGACATGGTTAAGACTAATCAGGAAAAAAATTACACAGATTTTAAAGCAATTTCCCAAAACAAACAAGTAAAGCTGCACTCCTGAACTTCTGAGAATTTCTGTTTCTTATTTTGCCTGTTTATGAGCACTTAAATCCAATTAATGCTAATGCAGGTCAGTCACAATCATTAATTGGAAATGAAAGGCCCTCATTTTAACTTAGTGGGTCCACAGACACAATCAAAGGCCACAGAAACAAAGACAAATACAATCTAGAACATCAACATGAGGAAGAGCAGCCACTGGGGACAAAGTCATACACCCCACCTCATTGTATTTACACCAGTCACAGCTCAGAATTTCCGCCTGGTGCGCTGGAACTACAATCCTCACTCCTGCCGTCTTCATGTCCCAAATTCTGAGAGTCTGGTCGCCTGGAAAAAAGGGAAGACATGGTCACTCTCCATCCTGGCACCTGGATGCTGAGGGACATACTGCCTTCCCTGTCAGGATTCTGCCAATTTAAAACATTTTTAGAACATTAATAATGCAGAAGAATCACCGACAGTGAGGGAGTAAAAAAAAATAAATAAAATAAGCACTGTGATACTATTCCTGATTTAATCAAAAAATCTAAATGTCACCCTGAGACAAACACAATAGTGATTACACTTCTGGTCATTCTGAGGGCAAAAGGAGTAATGAAAAGCATCAGATTCAGTAAATGCAGTTAGCACTCTGCACACACCATTCTATAAGAAACAACTCAGTAAGATTCCCTGTTAGTGTCATCAAATCTACCGAGCTAAAGCAAAGAGCTGACCTCTCACAGGAAACCCTACAGGCCAGAAGGGAATGGAGCAACATATTCCAGATTCTAAAAGCAAAAAACTGTCAGCCCAGGATAACATATCCAGCAAAGCTTTCCTTTGTCTTTGAAAATGAAATAAAATTCTCTTACAGTAAAGAAAAGTTAAAAGAATACACCTCTCTCAAACCTGCCCTACAAACGATACTTAAAGATGTTTTCTTGACAGAGAAAAGGAATAGCAGCCACCAAAACCAAAGGCACATGTGAAGAACATCCCAGCAAAATAATAACACAAGACCAACTCAATGAACAAATCATTGCTAAAATGACAGGACTAAATTATCACCCATTCATATTAACTCTGGAAATAAATGGATTAAACTCATCAATCAAACATACATTAGCAGACTGGATTTAAAACACAAAACCCAACGCATCTATTTGTTGCAAACAGGAGACACATCATATCAACAAAGATCAGTAGAAGTTATCTCATGGATTTTGATGTTTTTGTTTTTACTTTCATTTCTTCAAAAGTCTTCTTCTCATATTAAGTTCTTCACTGACTCATAAGTCATGCAGTAGCATCATTTTCTTTAAGAAGGTTCTTGATTTTCTTTTTTGTTTCTTCAGTGACATATCAGTCATTCAGTAGAGTATTGTTTAACTTCATGGCATTGTAGATTTCTATTTTCCTTTCTGTTGTTGATTTTGTATTGTGTCCAGAGGCTATCACAATCATGAGTTTGGCATGTGTCCTTTATTCTATGTACATGTAGCACTTTTACTACATTTTTATGGATCCATTTATAAGTATAATTGCCTTGTGTGTGATGTTTCCTTCTTTTTTTTAACTTAAAAACACCATCCTGCTGCCTTACAAAAGGTTAAGAACCGCTTTAACAGATGAAAGTAACATTTCTGTGTCCAGCTCAGAAGGTATGGATGAAAGAGAATGATGATATTGAATGTACCAAATGGAAACTGCTCAGAACTGATACAGACCAGAGCTTCAAATACCTTCAGGACCCTAAAAATAATTACTGTCAGCAATCTAACCATGTAGAATTTGTTTCAGGAGTCTTAAAAGCTTTGATGAAATAACCTTTATGGTCTTTCCAGGCTTTGTTGCATAAAGCTGGCTGACATGCCCATGCTTGGCAACACCGTCTAGGAATAGCACATCCCTGTCGTACCAGGTGATTCTAGAAAAACCTGCAGTTGAGCCCACAAAGGGGCAAGGCACACCAAGGCCAGATAGGGCATCACATTCCCTGCTCTGAACTCAGCTGACAGATCAAAGGGGTGTATTAGAGACTTTTCTGTCCATAAACTACATACTAAAAATATAGTTTCATTCTCTCTTACAGCAGAACGCACAAATGATAAGATTCAGGAGCCTGTGATGGTCATGCATTGGTTAATGGGGGGAAATGAGTCTGTAGTCAAGTCTTCAACAGGAACAAGTTCAGAAGAGACTCAGAGAATGTGTCCTGAGGGGACAAAAGCATCTCTTCCCTTCCTGGGTAAGCTTTTCCATAAATTCCACAAAACACAGTAACTGTCACAGTTCTAGAACTTGCAGGCAAAGGCAATTACTTACGATGAAGGAAGTAAATGGTACTCACCCAAAGCTATACTCTTTAAAAAAAATAAAAATTCTAGAAAAAGCACTTGATTCAGCACAGACCTAAATCAGCTTTCAAAAATTTATATCTAGGGCCCGGCGCGGTGGCACAGTGGTTAAGGTTCTCGCCTTGCACGCCCAGGATCCAATATGGGCTTCGGTTCTATCCCAGCAGCCCTGCTTCCCTTCCAGCTCCCTGCCTGTGGCCCGGGAAAGCAGTCAAGGACGACAGCCCAAAGCTTTGGGAACCTGCACCCGCGTGGGAGACCTGGAAGAGGCTCCTGGCTTCGGATCGGCATAGTATCGGCCTGTTGCGCTCACTTGGGGAGTAAATCATCAGACGGAAGATCTTCCTCTCTGTCTCTCCTCTCTATATATCCGCCTTTCCAATAAAAAAATAATAAAAATAAATCTTCAAAAAAAATTTATATCTAATACTGGGTCTAAAATGATAAAGTCTGCAATAGCCACGACTAACAGCATTGCCAAAGATTCAATAAGTAGGGCAAGCATTGTGTTATAGGTAGGTGAAGCTACCACCTGGAATGCCAGAATCCCATATAGATGCCAGTTTGAGTTCTGGTTGCTCCACTTCCAATCTAACTCCCCACTAACAGCCTGGGAAAGTAGCAGATAGTCCAATTGCTTGGGTCCATGCAACCATGTGGGAGATCCAAACGAAACTTTTGGCTCCTGGCTTCAGCCTGTCCCAGCCCTAACTACTGCAGCCATTTAGGGAGTGAACCAGTGGATGGAAGATCTGGGTCTCCCCCCTTTCTCTTTGTAACACTACCTCTCAAACAAGTAAAAATAGGTATTTAAAAATGAAAAAAGATTCACTGAATCTGTGTTCACTCTAATATACTACGTGAGCATGAGAACTGCTTAAAAGGAACAAAACATCACAATGAGGGTGTGACAGATTAAGAACTAACTTTTTAACAACTTAGATGAATGAACCTCACAAGAAATAGTACTGAGCTAAACAAACCAGACACAGAGCTGGCACTGTGATATTGCCAATGTAAATGACAGTCTGAGACCCACTTCTGATCCAATCCAGTACTAATGTACTGAGAAAGGCAGTGGAAGATGGTCAAGTGCTTGGACTCCTGGCACCAATGTGGGAGAACTGGATGGAGCTCCACGATTCTGGCTTTGGCCTGGCCAGCCCTGGGCATTGTAATTATTTTGGAAAATGAACCAGCAAATGGAGGATTTGTTTCACCCTTTCAAATAAATATAACAAATCTTTTTTAAAGAAATCAGACACAAAGTATGTAAACAGGCAGCTTGAAAGCAGAGATGAGGGTCCGGCGCGGTGGTGCAAGTGGTTAAGGTTCTCGCCTTGAACACACCGGGATCTCATATGGGCGCCGGTTCTAATCCCGGCAGCCCCACTTTCCCTTCCAGCTCCCTGCCTGTGGCCCGGGAAAGCAGTCAAGGACGACAGCCCAAAGCTTTGGGACCCTGCACCCGCGTGGGAGACCCGGAAGAGGCTCCTGGCTTCGGATCGGCATAGCATCAGCCGTTGCGCTCACTTGGGGAGTGAATCATCGGACGGAAGATCTTCCTCTCTGTCTCTCCTCTCTGTATATCCGCCTTTCCAATAAAAAAATAATAAAAATAAATCTTAAAAAAAAAAAAAAAGAAAGCAGAGAGGTGGAGCTTGTGGTTACGGTCTGCGCCTTGATCTAGATATCGGTCACACAGATGTGTTCACTGTGAAAGCTCACCAAGAGTATTCCTGATGTGTGTAAGTACTGTCCTTTATCTGTTTTGACTTCAAAAAGAGATTAAACCACACTACAACAACTAAGGTTGGGTGGGCATTATTCTTCGTTTCTCTGGCACAGTATTTTTGTGATACACCACCATGTGCTAGCAGCATTAAAAATAAATAAAAACAATCCAAGGCCATGGCTTTGCAGTTGATGTATGGAGCTTAGAAACATGACAACTGCTCTGCAGGAGCAGGAATGCCACTTTCTTGGGAGTCACTGGGCCTATACATATCTGGCACTCTGCCCTGCTCACTTTGTTTCCAGGTAGGAGAGGGAGCTTCTGAACAAATGGCACCATGACTCACCATACTCATTAGCCACAGAGACACATGGGCTTACGTTTTAATCACGTCTTGGGCACACTGCCTTTTGTTTTAGTCAGACATTCATCAGGGCCCTGTGACGCTGCCACAGATGCACCTGAATTGCCAACTTCTCTCATCAGTGGCTGATCTGCTACCATCCACAGAACGCACACACTTAAATACACGTTATGGAATCAGAACTGCTGGCTGTAGCTCGTCTAACTCCAAACTGGAGCAGGTAAGAAATTAGGTAAGGAGAATGAATTTAAAATTGTGAAGTAAATTGAGTAGCAAAAGGGTGTTTTGGGCCCTGGGAACTTTAATCTAATTGAAAATGCCAGATGCCTATCAGATGGAATGTGATTTTTTTTCCTTACATTGGAATGAGGTTTATTTTAACTACTGGCTGGACCCCACACATTCAGGCACAACTATGATTTATGCAATTATATGGAGTCTGCAATAACAGTAATTTAGTTTTCATGGCTCAGATGAAGATGCACATCATATTAATCATCTTTATGTAAAAAGCTAAATATTCTTCCCTTCTATCACATACCATTTAGAAATAATACGTTTGAGGGGAAAAAAGTTAAAAAGTTTGTGGGCCCGCATGAGGGCTCAATTGGCTAATCCTCCCCCTGCAAGCACCAGTATCCATATGGGCACACGTTCATGTCCTGGTAGCTCTACTTCGCATCCAGCTCCCTGCTTGTGGCCTACAAAAGCAGTCAACACGACCCAAGGTAGAAGATCTTTATCTCTGTCTCTTCTTCTCTTTGTAGCTCTTTCTTTCCAATAAAAACAAAAATAAATCTTCCAGAAAGGGCCCGGCACATTACCCTAGTGGCTAAAAATTCTCGCCTTGCATGCCCCAGAATCCCACACGGGCACAGGTTCAGATCCT